TATATATATATATTTTTTATTTTTTTTTATTTTTATTTTTTATTTTTTATTTTTTATTTTTTTTGCTGGATAAAATTAGTATGAATCGATACCAAATGTTTTCTTTAGATTATATGTGTTAACATGGCCACGAGACAATATTATTATAGTGCACGAGTGTGGCTGCTAACTAACCGTTCAATGGGAAATGAGCTTAGCAGTAAGGATAAAAATCCAAATATTTTAAGCAGTGAAATTGCTAGAAGGAAAATATTGTAATTTACATCAAATATTTAATTATAAATTCGAATTAAAAGTGCAATCTAGACAATATCAACTAGAATACATTCAACTATATTCAAATAAACATGTTCGATAATTTAATTAAACATAAATACATATTGCAACAAATTAAAAGTAACAAAGTTACTTAAATATACACTAGTCGTTAGCCCGTGTATTGCACGGGTTGAGTTAGTTTTAAGGTGAGGTTTCTCTGTTAAATATGGATTCTCCTCAATGACATGCTGCAGTGAATAATTGTAATGGCTACAATGGGATGTGCTTTTCATTATTATGCATGCAATAAAACGTCAAACTTTAGCGAATGTGATTTGAACATCTTAAACGACAGAATTTGTACCTATGAATAAAATATGGGGAATTTACACAAATGTCCAAATATGACAATTTTGCAATTACTTTAAAAAAGTGACATTTCTGTAAGTGACAAGGCAAAATTTGACTAGTTTGATAATTTCCACTTACATTTATCCATATTGTAACTGATATTAGTGTGAAACAAACATGACGAATACAATGTTTCTTTTGGAATGATTTTTAGGGAACCCCCCCCCCCCGGGGGGCACGCCCCAATAAAATGAAGAATCAAGAACAATGATGATGAAATCTTGTATTCAGTGGTGAAGATATCGTATGATTACTAGACCTATTTGACTTCAGGCAAGAAAAAAAAATTGCTCCTTGTACATTAGAGTCTAATGTACAACCCTCTAACATGATAGGGGTCCACAATAATTAAAAAATTCGACCCCTTTTTTATGTGAGGGAGTTGTATATTAGAGTGATACATGTAGCACTTCTCAAAAAAAAATTACTTAACTTTCAAGTCTACTTTTGCTTAATTAACTAGCTTATTTTTATACACTCCACTTGTACCCACCCATCTCTCAACTTCCAAGATCCTACAAAATAATATTGCTATGATCTCTTCAATTTTACTCATTAAATCTATGTTAATTTTCACTACAAGAAATTATAACTTTCCCGACCAACTTTTGCCAACCAACCAAATTCTAGTAGGTGAAAACTCTTTTATAATGACCAATAGAAATACTTGATCGGCAATATCTTTACCGACCCAATAAAATTAGTCAATAATAATAGTCTTTTGCCGACCAAAATTTTTCCCACTAATGTATATTTAGTCGCTAAAACAGTATTTACCGACCAAAATAGGTATTGCTAGGCGAAAATAAGACAATATTTACCGACTAAATAAATTTAGTCAATAAATTTCTTATACTGGGCCAAAAATCGTGGCGGGATATGTGGGCCCATAGTTAATTGGATTTACCCAAACTACATAAGTCAGAAATTAACGTTGTCTTCTCCATTTCCAATTTTCTTTAGCCGCCCTTTCCGTTTCTCTCAGTGCCTTGAAGTTGTTTGGTGCATTTCTATCCATTTCCATTTGTAGCCCGTCGTTTTCTCTCCATTTCGAAGTGATGTCCTTCTTTCTCCATTTTCAATCTTAAAGTAGGTTTTCAGATTCTTCATTTTCTTCTTTTTGTGCTTTCTAATTCTTTATCCCACACTCACATCTGGATTTTTTGAAATTTTGTGTTATATGTTTAGTTTACTTGGTAGAAAAAGGAGCAGTTTGATTTATTTATTTATTTATTTTGTATGGTTTTCAATTTTCTCAAATTTTTTCAATTTTATCACTGCATATATTTTAACGTCCACCCCCAATTCCTGACTTTTCCCTCACTGTATGGATTTTTGATTTTTCACTTTCCTTATTCATTTTGTATTTCATGAAACTTATTTGTACTAATTTTTGCTTCAGATGGTATTGGCGCTTCTTATCTTAGAAATCAATATTTTGTGTTAGTTTCTTTGTATGGCTTTTTATTAGTTTGGTTAATTTGTATTATCTTTTTCTTTTTGAGTTGTTCTCTGTGGACACTGCTTATCATTGGTTAAAAATCCTTTTTGAGATTCCTTTCTATTTTTTTTCTTATCATGGACGCTCTACCAAAATTATGAGACACAAACTCAATTTGACCACATTGTAGCCATGAATCAAAAAATCCTACATATAGGTTTTTATATGTTAATAGCTACTTGTCAACGTCAAATGGGAGTGACAAGTAATATTGTACGTGACTTAAGGTTAGGAGGATTTTCTAGACTGCAAATTATATTATATTGAGATCTATTTTAGAGCTCTGGTTTTAATCAGAGTGAAGGGGAGAGACTAATTTAGATAGGGGATAGGAAACATGTCTTAATTGTGGGCTGCTTGTTAATGCTTTATGTAACAGATGGAAATAATTTTGTACGATATATTTTGAATTTTTTAGATGTAAGAATAGATTCTTAGACTTTTTGTAGGAGCATATAAGCTATTTTTTACTTGGTCATTCCTCCAATAACATAGGTGATTCTTTGAAAAACAAGATAATCACATCAAGATTTATCTAAAATGTTTTCATCTTCGAGCCCTATCGCATAAGAAAAACAAAAGAATCGCATTTGATAAGAAATAATTACTATTCTATTAATTTCCATGTCCATCAAAGAAATAATGACGGCTTATTCAAAAATTTACTGCAACGTCTTCTTATCTTTCTTTATCAAAATTTACTAAAAAATCTTGTTTTTTATTATTCTTTCCTTTGTCAATTTTCGTAACATTATATTGAAACAATATATTTCTGAGGCTTATGCAATCTCTGGTCCTCTGCTAATAAAATATGATTCAAAATTTGAGTACATTCATTTTATGAATGAAGCTATCATCATTCCCTTATTACAGCTTTTATTGCTCTTTGTGCCTCAGGCTCAGTTCTAGAATAAAAACAGGCTAGCAGAACAACGGCCATATGTTACATACCAGAAATATAGTTGCTGATTTTGACACAACCTTTACAGACTAGAAATGTAGTGGCAAGTAGTTGCTGAATAGTGAATTTTTCAGAAACAATTTTTTTTTGTTTGACACAAATGCATGATTGCTACAAGGTGCTCAAATCTAATTTCATGTGTCTTGATTTTTTTTTACACTCAACAACTTAAGTTATTCCAATGACACCAAAGAGGAAGCCACCACCCCCCAAGAACTCTAAATGGTCCTATCATGCAAGCGATCACTCAACCTAGCATACAGCGTTCACCTACCATCCAATTTGCACAAGCCACTTTGCCAACAGAGACATGTAGTTCTATAATTGTTATTTAATTCTTACTTCAACTTTTATTTATTGACATTTATTGTTTTAACACTTGCAGCACCCCCAATCGAGCGTAAGCGACGTGGTCGTACTCGTGGCTTAGGCACATCCCAGATAGTCAAGGCCACTCATAGGATGCTGAAAATCATGTATGAAGACAGCGATGGAGGACCAACTGGTTCTAAAACTAGTCGATTCGTATTCGAAATAGGATGTAGTGTGAGAATATTTGTACCTCTTCAAAAGATCTTTTGGAAAGATGTGACTGAATTTGAAAAATCCCCTATTTATGACAAAGTGAAGGTAACATTATTATTTAACTTGTTTTGTTTCTTGAATGATCTGAATTGTTGGCATTTTGATTTTGGTTGCTTGGAGCAGCAACTTCATATTCCAATATATTTGTGTGAATTTTGTGCTAGTCATTGCATTTTCACTCATGGTATGTTGCCGTATATAGGCTATTTTTTATGTACAATACAACAAATATGCAACTCTTAAAGAGTTCATGGAGAAATCAATGGCCACTTTATTTAAGGAGTATCGATATGAGTTGTACACACATTACAAGAAGTTTCTAGACCAACCAATGGCTCATAGGAAAGCTAATAAGCCTAAAGAAATCGAACATCAGATTGATTGGGAATATTTATGTGACTATTAGGAAAGTGAGCGGTTTCAGGTGCATTTATATATAGTATAACTTCCATTTATGTTCATTGGTTAACTTTTTTAGTTCATTGACTATTTCAATTATGTTAATTGGACATTACAGAAAATATCCAATGTAGCAATTGACAAAAGAACCCAACAAGAATTTACCCATTTTTCTGGTTCTAGATTATTTATTCAATGTCAGGCTGTGGAGGTAAGTAAGAAGGAATATATTCATCTCTAATAGGAAACAATTTCAATTCAATTTTATTCTTATTTCTTCTAATAAGATAAGGGAACTGGACGACCAGACATAATTAAACTATGGAAGAACACACATTACAAGGATACAAAAGGTTGGATCCATCCTATGGCTAAGGAGAAATATGTAATAAACAAATACCATAAGTCTTTAAGTTTATTATTACTTAATGGAATAAATAATTTACTTTATTCCACTTACTACCTTATTGTGTTAATACTTTTCTATTGTCATGTAGAAAGAGATGGTAGACATACAAACAACACAACGGGCACATGTTGTGGGAGAGGAGAGTGAGAGCCAAGGGGTACAGCTCATTGCTAATGACATTGCAGCTCAGGTCCTTGGAACTACTTCTTGCTACTATAGGGGTTTGGGCAAGGGTCCAAAGATTCCACGTGCTACATCTCGTGCAGACATGACTCAACGAGAGAATGCGAAGCTTCGCCAAGTCGTGCATAATTTGCAGAGCCAAAATGAGCATGTTCTCGTAGAGTTCCTACTACTCCTCATTCCTCATCATCACCATCATGAGCTGATCAAGAGTCACATAATGATCATTAGTTTAAAGCTCTTTTATTCCATTTACATGGTTTTATATTTTATGGTTAATACTCCATTATTACATATGCTATTATTTTGGATTAAGCTAGTCTTCTCTTATTTTGGAATTTGATTAGACATTTTATTTTGAAATCCATTATAGTGTGGGCTGTACATATTTATGTAGTTACTTATTCTGAAATTGGAATTGATTGGTAGAGACATGATATGGTATTTTGCCTTGTAATTGTTTTGCTACAGGCTTTTTATTGTCATTATTGTTTTGTGATTTCTGATATTTCTTGAATTTGAACTTTTGTTGGTATATTGTGTTTGAGTTGGCCTTTCAACCTTTTTTATAATTTTGATTGTCAAAGAGGGTTGTAAAAAAAAAAAAAATAAATCACAACTATCGAGTGAAACCATAGTCAGGAAAAGCAGTTCAACTTTATTGTGTTGAATTTTCTGACCAATTTCACTTCATCAGTTGGTAGGTAAATATTACTTGATTTTTTGGTCGGTAAATGTATATTATTCCCAACCAATTGCAATGGTCGGCCTATTTTTACTACCACTACTCATGACTTGTTTATTACCGACAACTTTAGGCATTTACCAACCAAATTCATGGTCAAGAAAAAGGTTTATAACTACTTACCAACAATTTTTTTATTGCTAAAAATCTCTTTGTTTCCCTGTTTGGCCCCCATTAATTTCTATTTTATTATATTTCATTTTTCTCTTTCCCATTTTCAACCACACAACCTTCCATAAAATAATATTACACGTAAATCAAAAACTGTTCCTTCTTTTTCAACCACTCATTTTTCAAAAAAACAATATTCCACTCATTAAATTTTTTCACAAAATGGGGGCCAAACGGGGGCTAAATTATATTTTTGGTCGATAAAAACCTTCCCTGGCTGCCCTTTGGCGAACGGTGGCTGACCAAAACTTTCCGGTCAGTAATTTGATTTACCAACTAATATTGGTCTTTCAGGGACCAATCTCTTGGTCGGCAAAACTCGTATTTCTTGTAGTGTTTATTTAACAAAATTTTATATATGGGCCTATTTTCTTGTAATGATATTGATTGCATGACACTAGCTATGATGAAAAAGAAATTTCATTATTTAACAATAATGCTTTTTGGAGTTTTCCTATTAATTATATTTGTATCTCTCAATCAATTTCATGTGATTGGCTGGCATCAAACCTTACCACTAGAAACTAAAAATAATTTTTAATTAATATCGCGTCTTGGTGTTATAAGCATACCAATTGAGGCAAAATCAAGGTAGAATTAAAAAATCATTTAAGCTGGATTAATGTAAAAATGAAAATCCACAAAAAAAATTCCACATAAAAGAGTAATTGGGTTGCTTAGGCCAGCCAGAGCGCCTAAATATGTCCCTGCATATAAAAAAAATCCCACGTCAATCAAATTTGATATAAAGAAGATATTATATAGTATTAGAATACTTATCCACATAATAAGTTAATCTTTTAAGATATAATACCTATTCCTTATACTTAGATTGAATATGAATTATCAATACATTGATAAAATAATGTCAAAAAAAAAAAAAAAAAAAAAAAAAAAAAAAAAAAAGAAGAGAGAGGAAGAGGAAGAGGGAGAGGGAGAGGGAGAGAGAGAGAGAGAGAGAGCGAGGAACGCATGGTTTAAGAGCATATGTGTTACTTTCATTATACTTGATAAATGACTGTTAACTTATGTTGAGCACCAATAATATGACACATCTGTTTTATAGTTTTATACAACCATACCATTGTAAGAGTGACTGCAAACTTTGTCTTATATATATACTAGTCTGGTGCCATGCAATGCATGACTTGAATTTTATAAAAGGAGATATTAGCATATTAAATAAGAAAACAAAGGGAGACTGCAAACAAAATATTAAATTGATTCGATTAATTAAACGATTTAATTATATCAATTAGATATTCAACAATAAAAAAAATGATTCGGTTAATTAAACGACTTACTTATATTGAATATAGTATTATCAAACACGTCATTTATAAGTAAAATAATCACTTAGACTAAAATAATAATATTTGAAAAAATACATTTGAATTATAACAACAAGAAATTGAGCCAACAAATTTTTTATCTTAATTATTTTAACATCTAAAAAAAATTTATATATAAAAAAAATTCAGTAATTTTTAGGAATTTTTTTCTTATTGTTACTTTTTCTTCTTGATAAATTAATTTTTAAAATAATCTAATACAATTTTTTGCATAAAAGAATGATTATTAAAAAATTTTAAGTTAAAACCAAAAAAAAAAAAAAAAAAACAAATTTGACGTCAAACAAAAAAGAATTAAAAAGGAAAAAAGAAATAATTTTTTTAAAAAAAATGCATTTTTAACACATACGTTTAATGTCCGTTTAACTATTTTTGATATCTATTTAGATCATTCGATATCTCTACGAAATAGTTCTCAAAATGAGTTTCGAGAAAATGAAAATATTTATCGATTCGACTATCGCACAGTCATCAATGAATTTTTAAAGTTAGCTTGTTATCGAAAATTTCGAAATATAGTTTGAAAATGCCATTTTATTAAGAAAAACGAATTATGCGTATTTTTTAATACATACGTTTAATGTCCGTTTAACCTATTAAGAATATAATATTTCGACTTCATTTGATATCTCGTAATGAGCCTGAAAATAAACACAAAAACATAAGTAAAAAAAAAATAAAATTCGAGAGAATGTAAAACATTTATCGATTCGACTATCGTATAATCGTCGACAAATTTTTAAAGTTAACTTGTTATCGAAAATTTCGAAATAGTAATAAAATAATTGATTTTTTTTAAGAAAAACGAATTATTCGTATTTATTAACACATACGTTTAATATCCATTTAACTACTTTTGATATCTATTTAAATCATTCGATGTCTCTACGATATAGTTCTCAAAATGAGTTTCGAGAAAATGTAAAATATTTATCGATTCGACTATCGCACAGTCGTCGATGAATTTTTAAAGTTAGCTTGTTATCGAAAATTTCGAAATATAGTTTGAAAATGCCTACATTGACGTCCGATAACATTTGCTATGATTGACCGTTTCACGCACCGTTAACGACGTGCAATACTATGTCGCGAGTATTTAAAAACGATATTAAGAATATAATATTTCGACTTCATTTGATATCCCGTAATGAGCCTGAAAATAAACACAAAAATATAAGTAAAAAAAAAAATTCGAGAGAATGTAAAACATTTATATATTCGATTATCGTATAATCGTCGACGAATTTTTAAAATTAACTTGTTATCGAAAATTTCGAAATAGTAATAAAATAATTGATTTTTTTTAAGAAAAATGAATTATTCGTATTTTTTAACACATACGTTTAATATCCGTTTAACTACTTTTGATATCTATTTAAATCATTCGATGTCTCTACGATATAGTTCTCAAAATGAGTTTAGAGAAAATGTAAAATATTTATCGATTCGATTATCGCACAGTCGTTAATAAATTTTTAAAGTTAGCTCATTATCGAAAATTTCAAAATATAGTTTGAACATACCTACTTTGACGTCCGATAACATTTGCTATGATTGACCGTTTCACGCACCGTGAACGACGTGCAATACTATGTCGCGAATACTTCAAAACGATATTAAGAATATAATATTTCGACTTTATTTGATATTCCGTAATAAGCTTGAACATGAACACAAAAACATAAGTAAAAAAAAAATTGAATTAAGGCACTCCGCGCAGCGCGGAGTGCTTTAATTCAATTTTTTTTTTTTTTTTTTACGGATTGTTTTGGTAATTCGACCATAACTTTGGCTACGGTTGTCAGAATCGTGCCCATGACCCCAATTTGGAAAGCTTTTTTCGACGCGCACGTCGTGGCCACCTCGCCAGGCTGGGTGGACATCATTTTTGAGGTCAAAATTCGCTATTTTCCCTTCCTCTTCATTTACGCGTTTGATGTTTGTTTATCTATTTTCGATATTCATTTAAATCATTTGACGTGTCTATGATATAGTGCTCGAAATGAGTTTCGATGTAATATAGAAAATATATTTTTTTATACATTTTACGTAAAGGAATTAAGAAAAGTAGGGCGATAATAATTTTATTAGGAATTTTTATGCCAAAAAAAAAAAAATATATTTTATGCAACATCTATAAAAAATATATTTTCTATACTCTATCAAACTTATTTCGAGAATTATATTATAGACATATCGAATGATTTAAATGAATATCAAAAATAGTTAAACAAACATCAAACGCGTAAATGAAGAGGAAGGGAAAATAGCGAATTTTGACCTCGAAAACAATGTCCACCTAGCCTAGCGAGGTGGCCACGACGTACGCGTCGAAAAGAGCTTTCCGAATTGGGGTCATGGGCACGATTCTGACAACCGTAGCCAAAGTTATGGTCGAATTACCAAAACAATCTGTAAAAAAAAAAAAAAAAAATAATTTGTGAAGCACTCCGCGCAGCGCGGAGTGTCTAATTTTATTCTTCTTCTTCTGTTTGCTTCTTTTTTTTTTTCTTTTTTTTGGGACTTATTTTCTTCTAAATTTATTATTATTATTTTTTTTAATTTGGCTATAAGTTTTGCTACAGTTATCGGAATTGATTCCATGACCCCAATTCAGAAAGCTCTTTTCGACACGCACGTCATGGCCACCTAGCTTCGCTTGGTGGACATCGTTTTCGAGGTCAAATTTCGCCGTTTTCCCTTCCAAATTCCCAATTATAGTTTGACGTCAAATTTAAAAAATGCGTATAACTCGTCATTTTTTTTAAACGCAACATCTATAAAAAATATATTGTCTATATTTTATTGAACTCGTTTCGAGAACTATATTATGGACTCATCGAATTGATCTAAATGAATATCGAAAATAGTTAAAGTTACATCAAACGCGTTTCTTAAAAAGTTTACAAAAAAATATATTAATAGTATAATTAAAAAAATTAAAATTAAAATTAAAAAAAAAACTTGTCTGTGCAAAGTCAACAACTGTGGGCGCAAGTGACCATTAAGCCCTCAATATGTTAATTAGTGTAGGGTGGGATTTTCAAGGGTAAAGTGGGAAAACAATGTAAAGGAGGAAAAAAAAAAAAGAACAGGACAAACTACTGTAGCAAAATCGGATAAATTGGAATCAAGTGTGAAAACGGTTGTGACATAAATGAACAGTACTAAAAGCCTCTCTTTTAAGAGAGTA